TTTCACTAGCTCAGGTACTTTTCTATGTCTGTTCGAGGACGAATGGTTGTTTTAGAGGTGGAGAATGTGATGACCCAAAAGGTCATCTCGTGTTTTAGGACCCAATTCGGGGTTTTGAGGTCTTCAAAACCTCATTTTCTTCCTCCTCAATTTGCGTGCGCAATTCGGGCACGTTTCCAGAAAGCCTTTAAGTGAAATTTGAGAAAAATATTGAGTTTTGCCTTTAAAATTAATTTAAGTTGACTTTGGTCAACATTTTTAGTAAACGAAGTCGAACCCGTGATTTGACGGTCCCGAAGGGTCCCTGGTAAAATATGGGACTTGGGCCTATGCTCGGAATTGAATTCTGAGGTCCCTAGCCCGAGAAATGAATTTTTTGAAGAAAATTGTTAACTGAAAATATAAGGAATTTTAGAAATTGAATAATGTTTGATCTCGTTGGTGTCGGACCCGTATTTTGGTTCCGGGGTCCGGTACAAGTTTAATACGGTATTTAAGTCATGTCTGTGAAATTTGGTGAGAAACGGGACTGATTTGACGTGATTCGGACATCCAGTTGTGAAAATAGAAATTTCAAGTGTTCTTAAGGATTTCATGAGTTTTGGAGTTAAATTCGTTGTTTAAGATGTTATTTTGGAGATTTGATCGCACGAGCAAGTCCCTATGAGTTTTTTAGACTTGTGTGCATGTTTGGTTTGGAGCCCCAAGTGCTCGGGTGAGTTCTGGATAGGCCACAGAGTGTTTTGGACTTAAGGAAATTTTCTGGTATATTGCAGGTTCGCAGACTTCGCAATTACGAAGTCTGCCTCGCAAATGCGATGCTCGCATTTGCGAAGACCCTTCACATTTGCAATCAGAAGGCTGGGCAGGGGACCTTCGCATTTGCGAAGCTCATCATCGCAATTTGCGACTGGGTCAGAGGCCACATTTGCGAGCAATTGTTCGCATTTGCAATGCCAGCAAGTCAGGCCAACCTTCGTATTTGCGAAGGAAAGTCCGCATGTGCGAGTTCACATGTGTGAACCTAGAATCGCAAATGTGATACCTGCAACTATTCAAAACGAGTTTTGGACAGGATTTTCAATTCATTTCTCAAATTTTCAAACCTTAAGCTTTAAGAGGCGATTTCTAAAGAGTAGTTCTTCCCCAAATCATAGGTAAATGATTCTTAACTCATTTCTTTCAATCTAATTCATCTTTTTTACATAATTTCATCACAAAATCTAGGGATTTTCATGGGGATATTGGGTGTTTTTTGGTAGAATTTAGGAATTTGGGGATTTAGACCTCAAATTGAGGTCGGATTCCAAAACCAATTGCATATCCAGGCTCGGGGGTGAATGGGTAATCAGGTTTTGGTCCGAACTTCGAGTTGTGACCAAGCAGGCCCGGGGTCGGTTATTGACTTTTTGGGGAAACTGTTGGGAAATCTATAATCATGCATTAGAATTGGTTTCTTTGGCGTTAGTTGATGTTAATAAATTAATTATGCATAAATACGAGCGTATTGGAAGTGAAAACTAAGGGAAAAGTGGTATTTGAGGCTTGAGTTTGGTCGTGGAATCGAGGTAAGTGTTGTGGCTAACCTTAGCTTGAGGGATTAGGCGTTGTTGCCTTGTTTGCTACTTGTTTAGTTGTGAAGTACGACGTATAGGTGTGGTAACGAGTATCTATACGTTGTTTTCGCGTCATAGCATGCGAGTGAGTCTTATACTTGTGACCGTTGTGTTTCTTTATACGTATTGTTCCTATTTAAACTAGTTATTACTCATGTTAAACAAGTCTTTTTATGTTTTCCTGGTTTTGGATATTGGTTGAGTATTGGCTCAAGTTGAGATTTCTGTTGTGAAATTAAATGATGAAACGAAGTTGTTTAATTATGATGCCCTTGCCGGGTTGTTATTGTTTCTGTTGTTTCTTATGGTGAGCAAGAGTGATAAAGAACGAAGGGTGATGCCGTGCACGTTTCTATTACTTATGCGGTGAGGAAGAGTGATAAATCACGAAGGGTGATGCCGTGCACATTTCTATTATTCATATGGTGAGGAAGAGTGATAAAGCACGAAGGGTGATGCATTGCACGTTTCTATTATTGATTGCCTGGTGAGGATTGAGAGTAAAAGCACGAAGGGTGATGCCGTGTATTTTTCTGTTTGCTGTGTGTTCTTGTTGTTATCGGTTCAAGTGCACTAGTTGTTTCGATTCCTTTACTGCTGTGATTCTTTATGTTGGAACCCCCATAGCATGTTGCCTCTTCCCGTTCATTTCTGCTTAGCTTCTATTACTTGTTATTCTGTTAGTGTATTGTTTAACTGCACAGGTTTATGTTGTTTGTCGTGTCCTAGCCTTGTCACTACTTCGCCGAGGTTAGGCTCGGAACTTACCAGTACATAGGGTCGGTTGTACTGATACTGTACTCTGCACTTTCTGTGCAGATCCCGGTACTGGACCGTACTGATCAGAGTTTGGGGTTGCTGCCTTCAGTCCACAGGAGACCCAAGGTAGATCTTCCGGCGTTCACAGACCTTGGAGTTCCCTTCCCTTTATTTTAGTTCCTGTTTTCTTTCTTTTCGAAAAACAGATGTATCTTCCTTTAAATCAATATTTGTAGAAATTCTTAGACGTTCGTGGATTGTGACACCAGATCATTCGGGTAGTCGTGTATTAGAGTTTTGAACTGTTATGAAATTTTCGCACTTCATATCTGCTCAGCTTTAATTATTATTTATTACTGTTTTTGTTAATGATTAATGTGTTTGAACTGTATCTGTTGGCTTGCCTAGCATTCTCATCGTTAGGCTCCATCACGATCCTGACGGTGGAAAATTTGGATCGTGACATAAGGTAATACAATTGATTATGATGGAATCTCTTCCGTCCAAAAACCATGGACCCACGGTTACACCAAGTTTAAATAATACTCCCTCCATCTCAACTTGTTTGATGCAATTCAGATTTTAAGAGTCAAAATTCTTAATTTTGATCGTGAATTCGGACATAATCCGAACTGCATAAACAAAATTGGAATGGAGGGAGCATTGTTTTATTCTAAAACTTAACAAATTAAAGGGGGCGGGGGTAGTGGGAGGAAAAAGTTGGCTGATTTAATTAAACAATAAACAGTTGAGAGATGGACTTGCAAGATACAATTAAATTGGACCATGCATGCCGAGTCATGAATAACAACGTGCACGAAGAAGTAAGAGATGGAGCTCTGGCCATGGCTTTTCAACCTCAATTCCTTTGTCTTTTTGCATATGTGACTACTTTATCATTCAAAGGTTCGAAAAGTATCGCCAAAAAGAAAAAACAGACCAAAGTTCGACTATGCTTAGTGCCCACATCATTTGGCAATCATAGATGTGGTTTGTGTGTATATAATATCCTAGTTTCTTGCTTCTACAAACTCATGTCAAACTGGTAAATAAGAAGAAATAGAACCCTTCTTGCAGACCAGGGGATGCATTTAAGGCGATCCTGCCGAGTATAAATTAATTTGTGGGGAACCTCATTAATTTATTTCACTTTTATTCAAGTAATCTACTTACTTTTCTTCTTCTTCTACCCTTTCGCGTATTTTACTCATTAGTTATTAAATAAACATAAACACATTTCTAAAAAAAAAAAAAAAAAAATTCCCATACCCGAATGGAGGACTGTAGTTTTTTTTTTTTTTTTTTTAAATGAAACGAGATTATTACCACACCAATGGAGGACAAGGATTTTTAAATTTAACGAGATAACAAATCGATTTTACTAACTCAGATATTGTTGCTAGCCACAACGAACAAGAAAAAAAGGAAATACAAATTGAAGTTCAATTAAAGGTGTTTAACGGGTGGGCCGCGCCGGGCCGGGCCTATATTTTTTGGACCCGTACGGATTACGGTCCGGGCCGGTTACGGTTGGGTCTTAACGGGTTTAACGGGTTCGGGTTCATCCGGGTAAAAATTGAACCATAAGGGTTACGGGTTGAGGGGGGCCGGCCGGGCCGGGTTTAGTATAATTTTAAGTTTTTTTTTTTTTGGATTTTGTATAAATATTGTAAGTTATAGTATTAATACAAAGTACTAACATAAAGAATACACGGAAGATGGGAAAAAATTGCACTTATAAATTGCAAGTGCTATATTTATTTCAAAATTACAAAATTAAAGTTTGCATTTAAAAAGTAAATTAACAAATAAATAGTAAACTAAATTTTCATGCATAATAAATTAATAATACTTCAAATTAATCTAACAAACTAAATCATTAAGCATAAATACGTCTAATAATTTAAAATAACACAAATTATCTTAAAATCTTAAGATAACACATATATAGCATATTTTAAAAATAATACGTTACCATCATATTCTATGATTTGAGCATTTATAGTATTATAACCTAAATATATACACTATATGTTAAATTCCAACAATTTTAAATTATGTTAATTAGTATACAATAATTGGTATATTCATTGTATATTTATAGTATATTCACATACTTATGGTATATTCATGGTATATTCATGTTATATTCACGTTCCGGGTCGGTCCGGGCCGGGCCGGGCCGGTTAACCGGTTTAACGGCACTGTTCATCTAACGGGTTTTACCGGGCCGGGTAACCCGTTTCAAAAATTTAAACCGTCCAAACCCACCCCAACCCCCCTACCCAGCCCAGCCCCGCCCCACCTTACCGGTCCGGACCGGTTCCGGGTTCTACCGGTCTGGGCCGGTCCGGAACCGGGCTGACCCGGCCCGTTTAACACTCTTAAGTTCAATCGAATGACATTGAAAACTTATCTATCAGTAATGTGAATAGAATTTTACAAAATGACACTGATTTGGCCTCCAAAGATTGCATGATGTCATATCAACTAAATCCCTTATCCGTCTCCGAATAGTTAAGTAGATGCAACTATTCCACTTTGACAAAGATATTCCTCCTATCCTTTTATATGATTGCTAATCATACGATTCAGATCATTAAAGAATTGGAACAACCACCAACCTAAATAAGAAGCAGAACCGCCATAGCCATTCGCAAGAACAGAAGTAGAGAACATTTTTCCATGTATAAAATGTCTAACCAGTTAAAACTGTCTAAACAAGCAGTTAATAGCACAAAGTTCCTCTGCTATGTAGCAGCAGAGACTACTTCTCAAAAGCTATGACAACTAGAACAAAGAAATGACACTACAACATTTTGCCCAAGGGTCTCAATTCCCTCGGCATGCCATCAAAATTCCCAGAATTCACATCAGATTGAAGTAATGGTCTCTTCCCAACTTTCCAGTGTATGCCTTCTGCCAAGTGCTCCTTAGTTGGTGTCAGCATTACAAAGTTTGGATCAGCCCTTTGATAGCTGCAATTTCAAAGATATCAAGCATTAAGAAACTCTTAAAGCGAGTAATGGGCTACAGAGATCCTATGAATTGTTTTTGGGCCAAAAATGAGGATTTCAAGATTTTGGTCCAGGAAAGTTAAGACTTTAGACAAATTAAAATCTAGTAGACGGGATAAATTATCCGGCCTTGCCATCAAAGGATATTCTTAGCCAGCTTTGGCAGCTTGCTGGCTGTAGAACTGGGATCATATACCAATCACAAACGATATGGACTCCATATAGAACTGAAAGATAACCAACCTTCCTTCTCTAATATTGTCAACACGAATGCCAAATCCAAAGGCTGTTGCTCCTTTGGTACGATCTCTAGTAGCTGTCAACCAACCAATATAAACTGATTCTCAGAAACTAATCTTCAAAGAAAGATTAGGCACATACAACATATAATTGCACAGGTTAGGTTTTAAGTTGGGAATATCCATCATCAGCCATTGAGGCTCAACGCGTATGATCTACACCTCTTAATATGAAGATAGAAGGCCTGGGGGATGGGAGACTCCATTTGTTTTATCAACAGTTGGCAAAGAAATCCAACAGAAACTATTTTTTTCCATATCACTTTAGCAAACATTGTGACACTGCGATAAACTAAATAACTTACAACAGTGAAATAAATGAACTGTTTGATTATGTTATATGTCTGGCATAAAATCTCTATTACCTGAAACATTGAAAGTGAAGGAAGGTTTCCACCATGACTTAAACGCCAATGCTAAAGATGAGCTTAGAGGCCCGACCTTCCCCTGTGGCAGTGTAACCTTTGCAGTTATTATCCTTTATTTCAGTTAGTACGTGCAAATGAGCAAAAGATTTAAGAGGTGCTTACCTTAAGCAAGAAATTTTTATTAGCTTGCCAAGATGCAGCAACTTGAAAGGTGGAATCTTGGATGCTGCTTGGAGCTTTCTCATCATTAACCCTACTGCAAAAGTTCACAACCAAGTCAGATCCTACCCTACTCTGGTCAGCCTACAGCTTACTATACTATCTTGGAATACCTCGTCTGCAACTCAAATCCAAAGTCAATATAGTTAGTAATTCCAACTACTTCATCTTCTTCTAGTGGATTTTTCACCTGTCATTACATGAATTATTTGTATTAATACTACTTTAACGAAGCACAGAAAGCTTCCATAAGAATAATGACAAATGCAATTCTCAAAAAAAGAATAATGCCAAGAGCACTAAATCAAAACAAGGAATTCTGATCCCAAGACACGTTCTATTTTTCAAAATTAGATGATGTCATAAATACATCTCAAGCAAAAGCTTTTTAAATTATAAAGAACTTTCATCTTCTCTGTATTTTTCACTGTGATACCCTTTCTGATTTGATTAGTGGTGTGGCCTCTATGGTTTTCCTGTGTACTTCTTTTGCTTTCCAGATTTGGCTATTGCACACAAATCCTGAAGAATTGAACTATACATACTTTCTGCAGTGGCAGATAATTCAATATATGAGGCCTCAACTAAAACTGAGGAATAGTTAGAAGTAACCAAATGTTATATTACACCGGCAATTATACAGCTTCAAATCCATGGATACCATTGATACATTTGATGCACATTTCCTCCTTGACAAATCAACACAAAAAAGACTTATCAACTTTCAAGACCAAGAGAATGCCTTTATGTACCAAATGGGGCATAATAACAGATTAAACAACAAATATCTAAATCCAAAATAAAAGGAAGCTAGTGCAACAGAATTCTTGTGAATCGTTCAGCAAAATTGCACTTTCATTATCATACACTGCTGATATTAACAAATATTACTGCCAGAATAAGTTGAACTTGAGCAACTTCAAAAGGCATATACAAACAGTGATGCTAAACATGTTGAATGGCATTTGCAATTTTTAAAATTCTGATTTCCTCAAGGAAGAGAAGCATACCCTTCTTTGAACCACCACATGTTGATAGAATGAAGCAATAAACTGCAGTAAAAGCTAGGCAATATTAGAGGTTTACCCCAGGTACAAATTACAGGCATGCAATCTAAGACAGTAGCAAATGCATAACCAGCAAGTATAACAACCTAGCCCATAAAACTTCACGAAGTATTCTCCTTTTCCAGCCAAAAATCAGTTTAGAATTACAGGCTCAAATGTCAATAGCAACAAATGAGAACTGGGGTTTTGCAGCAGTAAAGAAATTAGCATACAAGAGATCTTAACTCGCCACAGGTAGAAGAAAATACATCAAACCTGTGAATTTTTAGCAAGCTCAAGACCAAAATTGAAGGATGGGCTCAAAGGGCTGCCTGATCCCACTCCATAGCCAATGGCACAGCTCCAATTTTCTAAGTTCTTATACTTTGCGCCATTTGTGTTTCCAACTATCAAAAGTAAACAGAACCAATAAAGATAATATCCCATATGAATTTTGATAACGGAGTGCATGATAAGATACTTGTTCTTCCTCTCAATCTGCCAGACATTCAGAGACCATATATGGACACATTTTAAGTTATTTCCCTCCTCTTCTTTCTCTCACTCGCTCTGCACGCATGCGTTGCTGGGTTACGAAACAATTTATAAACTGTAAAAGAACATTTTGACTAGATACCCAAGCTTTCTCCTTATGAAACATTGTAATAAGCTTAAAGCACTTCCTCCGTGTGAAGTAGCCAAGCATGTTCACTGCAGATGGCTTCCTTCCAGAGGATCAGAGACATGCATTACACATCTTACTCTTCTGGGAGACCAAGGTCTCATATATGATGCATATTTTGGAAGAATAAGACAAACTGGTAGTACGTAGCGCAGGATAAACAAAACTGTGATGGATCTTTGGCACAAGAACAATTATTTTCTTCTTCTCTTCTTTTTGTTGGAAGGAGCAAATTTCCTAACAAGGAATATACATTGTTTACTAGTGAATATGTAATGAATATTTCTTTACCAAGGAAACTAAATGAGGGAGTAGTATCCACGAAAATTACACTGTGATTCATACTGCACCCCTGTGGTTAACCTTCCCATCTTGCTTATGAGCCATGCGCTTTTGGGAACATCATCTCCCACTGCACCAACATGAGAATTAGTCCATTTATGAATTAAATAAGAACAAATAAAAAATAATTCCATTCGCAGCTGCTTTAAAAGAAATGTCCGGCCCAGAAAACTTCGCAAACCACAAGTTCAAGCAAGAAAAGTTAGCTTATCATTGCATGTCACGTACAAGAGAAAGGCATAAGAGTAGCTCCAACTGAGAGATTTGATGAGCCATATCTCAAACCCATGATTCCATAATCTTTTGAAGATACTCTGGACATTCAAAAGGATCATGTCAGAAATGCAAGTTCATAAGTCTAGACAAACACCTGACACCTGAGTCCCGGTCTATAACAAAATCTAACTAACCTATTCTTTAAAAGTACTGGGAAAATGCCAAAAGCTCCAAACCCAAATTTAGGGTAGAATGCACATGATCTCATCAGCAGGATCCTAGCAAAGAAGCAAAACAAGAAAACAATGGTAGTGTTGTTTTCACTTAAAAAGGAAATGAACTTCTAAAGGAAAGGATTGCGCCTTACGGATCATCATTTGATACGAAAAGGTCGACAAAGGTATGTGGATCCTCAACATCACTGGGACACAATCACCAAGAATTTAACCGCATGTGAGAATCACATTATGGAGATAATAAATCAGCAAGGAGACAAAAGAATTGACAAAAAAAGGTCATAATACCTTTGCCAACGAAATTGTGCATTTCCTACAATTTTCTCTTCAGGTTTGTTGTCAAGTGGGCCTTCAACCTGAGAAGGCTAAGGAAAAACTTTATTCTTGTCAAACTAGCCCGTCATTGAGCCAAGGAAAATGCTGAAAACATACCTAACCATTTATCCATAGCCAACTCTGTTGAAAACACTAGACCGGGCCTAAGGGTATATTTTCACAAGAGACGCTACTGTTGATGATCAAGTTTGAGACGTACGATCATGACAGTGCATAAATAACTCAAGAAGGTGAATTTGACACCATACTGCCTTGACCAGCAGTGAAGGATGCAGAATAATGGCACAGGTGCGGCCACCTACTGCCGCAGCTTGACGTATTTAATTATATATAAGTTAAACAATTTTGAAAAATATATCTGTGCTAAGTTAGAAATATTGTCACGAAGGAGTAATGAACGTTATGGTGCTCCACACCCACTAACTAAAAATCATAAATCTGTCTCTCTGTAGACAATCAGAATCACAAAGCTTTAAATTGACCAGAAAAAACCTATTTAAGTAAAAGCTGCTCTTCATAGTCAATTATGGTGTAAGAAATTTCCCATTTTTTTCCTGAATTATGCCTGCAGGCACATTACAAAAACTAAGAGAGTGGGCAGGACAGAGAAGTCCTAGAATATAAAGTATACTACACAACTAATATAACCAAATTAAATATGCCTGCAGATGGATACAGTTGCAATCAAATCAACGTGTGCATCATCAATTGGCTTAAGCATAATCCTGGTGCTAAAGTGCCTAGCTTCCTCGAAATAATCCTCAAAAAGGCATTTCAATGCCAGTTTCCCAAATAACATGTTATACGATGATTCCAGCATCCTACATTGCAAAAAGACCAATATAACTACATCCTAATGAAAAGCAAAGATACTACCCATAGATATTATAACAAGTAACCAGCTTGTGATTGCTAGATTTGTTATATTTAAGTATATAAATTCTCTTGTAAGTTGGAATTAAGAGGTCTAATCATCTAATTTTCAGGCGTCAGATATTAATTTATTAGTTCTTTTTAAAAGTCCAAAGAGCACAGACTAGCCTCGGAACTTGGATATGGTTTACCAATCGAAGATCCATGGATCACAGACACTATCTCCCCATGGCATTCAATGTGTATTCTTCAAAAATCTCATATATCAATTATGCAACCATTTCAGTTTACCAAGTTCAATGTTAGCTGGATAAGTTAACATTTATCTCTTTCGATGCAACAAGAAATCTTATGCGTTACAAGAGGTTTTACTGGTTTGTTAATATATACAATTCAATTTTTGAAATCCAGAAAACCTTTTTTTTTTTTTTTAAAACCACTCTTCAAGATGTTTTTTCAACATTAGTTTTCAAAAACATGTTAAATGAAAAAGAGATTTGGAGATATATATGTTTCATCTTTCATTCCTAAAATAATCAAAAGTCTCAAAAAAAAAAAAAATTATCTAAATAAAATTTCTTTTGCACAAATCTTTTCTCCAAAAAGAATTTCTAAATATTCCTATTTTAACAGAACACGTGCAAGAAAATACTCAAAAGAAAAAGAAGCTCGACTTTCCAATAATAATGATAATAGTAATCAAGAGATGGAGTAATTATTTTAAATTAAAGCTAACATTATGACGAAACGACATCAAACGAAGTGAATTGTGGAAAATGAGTATTGAGGTTAAAAGTAACGGACCTTGTACGGGCAGAGAGAGGAGGAAAATCGAAGAGCGGCGGAACTAACACCATAGGCGGTGGAGGTTCTGCGGCGGCCGACCACAAGTTCCCCATCACTCGCTCTTTTTCCCACTTAATTAATTATTCTAAACTGAACAAAAGAAGAACCCTGTCGATGTGATGAAATATGAATGAATGTGTGAATTGAACAACAGAAAAAGGAGGTTAGGGAAATACCGAAACCTCCGAACCCTTTCCCCGGGCATTTCTCTTCCTTACCGCGACTGTTTCAACCTTTCAAATGGCGCCGATTCAGTGACATGGCATCTGAAATTAAATACCACGTCACATCAAGGATCCCACAACTAAATCTTCAGTCGTTATATTAGCACTACTATTAGCACCGGCGCGAACGCTAACTATGTCAACTATATGAGTTATTTGGAATATATGTACATAATCTTAAAATTTAAACCTTTTCAATAAATATTGATAATCATTGGATATTAATAAGAAACACTATATGAAAAAGATTAACGATTTCTCAAATCTCCTAGTCATAATTCCATTTTTTAGGGTGTCATTGGATCCTAAAAATAATACAAAGCAAAATAATAACTTATATTTATGAAAAAATAATCAAAGGTTGAGACTATGAAGGACTTTTGGATACGACTTGACTCTTTCACTATTACTTGAACTCTTATTTGGTGTGTATTTCAAAAACTATTTTTATTTTAAAATTTCAGTTTCTAAAACTTTATATTTCAATAATAATTATTTTTATAATAATGTAAGTCAAAATATTATCCTTAATTCAAAACTCATTTTAGTCGACTATCTAAAAATTTAAAAAATTATTTAGCTAGTGAACTATTATCCCCAATATGACTCCATTTTGATATTTGACATTAACCATGTTAAATATCTGAGTTATTTAAATTATATATGAATAACCTTAAAATTTAAACCTTCTAGAAAATTATAGATAATCGTTAGATATTAATTAAGAAACACTAAATGAAAAAAAACTAACTCGTAGTGATAATTTTATTTTTGCACAATTCTTATGGTGTCATTGAAACCCAAAAATAGCCACAAAGCGCAATAATAACTCGTATTTATGGCAAAACACAAAGGTTGACACAATATGAAGGATTCTTTGTTTATGACGTGACTCTTTACTACGACTTGAACTATTATTTGGTATGCTGTTATCCTTAAAAAATATTTCTATTTAAAATTCCAATTTCTAAAACTTTATATATATTTCAATAATGATTATCTTTATAATGATGCAAGTGAAGATATTATCCTTAATTTAAAATCACTTTAATCGGCTATCTAAAAATTTAAATAATTCTTTAGCCGGTAAAACTTTATTTCAGTATGACTCCATTTTGAGTTAGTCCATATCTCTAGCCACATATTTTAAATTTTAAATACACTATGTATACAGATTTTTTGTTCTTTGAATCACTAAATGTTAAATTAGTTGATTGTTATTATATAACATTGCATATATTATCGTAAATTTGCAAAGTAGTTTTTTCTCGACACCATACTTGGGTTAACTCAATGCGAACTACTCAAATTGCATTTAATTTTAAATTCGAATATCATATCAGTTTGTTAGTAATAGTGATATTTTAAAAACGACACACAATGTAAATTTAAAAAAATATTTTAAAAAAATATTCTAAAATATCTTTATCTCATAATCTATTTATTTTTGAAAAAATATTTGAAATCGATAAGATCAGCTTTCAAATTTTTATACTCAACAAAGATGAAACAGAAGATGAAATTCGTTGTCATCTCTTATTTCTAGATTTTAGATTTTTCTTCCTCTTTTTTTTCTAAATTTTTTTCTTTTATATTTATTTTTTATGACTTTTTTATTTTGTTACAAAAAATTAATTTATTTCTATAAAAGGATGAGTTTTAATAGAAATTGTCTACATAAGAAATTTTATTTATATTTTAGTCTTTGGTTGAGATTCTTTCATATTTTTCTTTTGGCTTTATCTAATCAACCTAAATAGGTGCTCACCCAACCACTTAAATTAAAAAATTGAAGGATGTGCAATTTATATATAATTCATATATAATATGTGTATAATCGTGTGTTACCGGTGTATCATCTATGTATATTAGCTATAGAAAGTAAACAATACATCTGGCCGGATATTTATATTAATATTCCATAGGATTTCGGTTTCTTGATTTTATCTGTGATAGAATTTTTATTATAATAATTTTAAAAACTCTCTACTAAAATTCAAAAATATTTTATCTTTTTATTTTTAAAATTACATTATATGTTAAAAAATAATCTCATTTGAATAATTTATTTACATTTTAAAAAAAATATTTCAAGTCATACCAATGGTGCTGATGTTTCAACCTTTCAAATGGCGCCGATTCAGTGACGTGGCATCTGAAATTAAGTACCGCGCTACATCGAGGATCCCACAACTAAATCTTCAGTCGTTATATTACCATACGAAAATGATTGAAGATGGTGAAAAAAAATGTACACTAGAACCTCTCTAAATTAATATTGTACCATGCAATATTATAATTTTGTAAATGTATTATTTAATCGATAGATTAATATTTATTAATTTAGAGAATTTTTTGAGATTCAATAAAAGTTAATTTTGATTACATCAAAATCATTGTATCTTACTAATTTTGATCTTGGTTACTGCAATAAAATAGATATCAATAGTCTGTTGGATTACCCAAGTGAAAATGATACATGTTCAGAGGTCCAGAGCTTAGAATCGAATCCCTGGTGTTCGTGTAGATGGTGCAAGTCCCTAAATTGACCATACTAGAATTGGCTGCCCTAATGTGTTGTGTTGAGAGATTCATGTTCTACAATTATTCTAGATGTTTATCATGTTATCATGCTATTTGAGAATGTGTTAAAGATAGGGAATATGTGCTAAAATGCCTAGACTTCAAGTTGAGTTTGAATAAAGGTTATTATGCCTAAGTATGTGAAAGCCTTTATACACCTATGATCTGTAATTGCTCTCGTGTGTACTCAATATCTTGAAATAAAATGCTCGTTTGTTGAAAATGATAATAATAATGTGAAATGTGGAAAAGATCTTGCACTATGTAATACGGCCAAAAGCCAAGGTATGATATAAAAATTGTGGCCACTAGTGCCGATGAATTGATATATGTGAGAGAAATATGAAATGAGAGGATCGATGGAAAAATGGTAATGTCTTGGGTGAGACGGCCTATTCGATCGGGCTGTGATCGGACGTCATGCCGCACACATGGTGGTACTATGCTGGAAACTGAAATTAGAAATGGAAATTGGAATTGTGATTGTGGTGAATGTCTCCAATGAGACGACCTAGCCGATCAGGTCGTGATCGGACTCCGTATAAAAGTACGGTGGTAATGTGAATGATGAGGTATCGATACTAATGATGCTCCAATTTAAAGCCATTGAAAATTACTTGAAAGCTTATGTGATCCTTAATTTGGTGTTGTGGTGTTGCTTAAGGCTTTTATTGATTTTATGATTAGTTTCTTCTTGTATTATTATTCTTTCTAATGAGATGGTGTTTAGTCATACATACTAGTACTATTCGACAGTACTAACGTCCCTTTTACCGGGGGCGCTACTTCTTTAAATGGATATAGGTGGTTCCATAGCAAACAGTGTTGATCGCAACTAGTGGTGCATCGTCATCATCTTCCCAGCAACCTTGATGAGCCCCATTTCTTCCCGGGTTTATGTAGTATATCTTTTGTTTATATGTTATCACGTTTTGAGATATAGCCGGGGCCTTTTTGCTGGCATTGTTATAATTCTCTTTTGTATCTTTAGAGGCTCCGTAGACACTATGTGGGTTGTATAAGGCTATTGGAAAGGCCAATGGTAAAACTCTTGTTCCACTCAATCGCAAGGATGTGTGTATTTTGAAACTTAAAAATGATGTAATCTATAAAGCGATTTAGTAATGTTTACATGATCTTCCCAGTGTTTTAATAATGAAAGCATGTCCTCTTTTGATCATAAGTGAGCTGGGTACAAAGTGTCGAACAGGCTTGCTCAGTCGGGTTTACTCGGTTGAGTGCCGGTCGTGCCCCTTGATTTTAGGGGCGTGACAGCTACATCAATTATACACGCGGCATAATTTAAGTGGTCATTGCATTGACGTGCCATGTCATTTGACACGTGACATGGACCTTGGGCTAGTGGAGCGGGCTCATCACTTGAAGACCAACTCGATGGACTAGCGCAATGAATTTAAACTTTAATTTAAATCCAGATATTGGACTTAAGTAATTTAATCTTAATTTGGGATTGATATTTGTTGAATATAGGAATATATCAAATTTAGTATGGACTTTAATCCCGTAAAATGCACATATCTACAAATGCCTCCTACTTTAAGATTTGTCGAAATGTAAATTTGTTGAACACGAGACAAGGCTTGAAGTACTGTAAAGACAATTATGTTTAGCCTTCAAAATAAAGACATCGATCACTTCGACCATTTTTAACTTTCCAATGAAGCATGCAATTGAAGCCGTAGTTGGGCCGTGTGACTTGCATTTACTTTCCGTCCATCCTCTTGCCATGTATGAATTAAATTCATTAGGGAAACTCTTCTCCCTCTTGAACTTGAAAAATCCTTTCATCAAATATTGTATAAACAATATTGTGATATTATGTGGCAAAGTAATATCCTTCGGACAAAGTGCAACAATCAAACTTAGAACAATCCACGTGGAAGAAACGCTTAATTGACATCTATATCCAAAGGAGCTATAGTTATTGCTCCCACATATTGACTTAGAGGGTGTTTGGCTAAGCTTATAAACTGGTCAAACTAGCTTATAAGCACTTTTCGGCTTATCTACGCGTTTGGTAAAGTTAAAAGTGCTTAATCTATGTGATTGTGTATTAATCATTGAGCTGTATGTAATAAATGAGGACATATCAAATTTTTGGTGTATTATTTTCTTAGTGTTGTGGTGATGAAGACAATGTTTGTTTCTCTTCAAATATTTTGTCCTATTTATATTATATGTTTAAACTGAACTTTCATACTCAGTCATATTTATTCATTTTATATCATATCGCAATCTCTGTTGCTATTTATTGACATATCATATCATCATTTTTGGCTAGTTTCATGACCTTGTGAGCCCGAGAGACCGGAGAGTTTTATGACTAAGTGAGGCCCGAGGGCCTGATTGTGAATTATATTTATGGGATCGGGCTGCACGCCGCAATATGCTTTATTGAATTATGTCTGGATCTGGTTTATTATACGCTTGGGCTGAAGGAGCCTCTCTGGAGTTTGTGCACACCCCCAATGAGCGCAGTTGATTTATATTTTGAGGGATGAATCTTCCCTGGGC